TAAATTATAGGCCGGGTTTGGTGGCTCACACCTGTGATCCTAGCACTTTAGGAGGCGGAGGCGGGTGGATCACCTGAGGTCAGGAGTTTGAGACCAGCCTGGCCAACATGGTGAAACCCCATCTCTACTAAAAATACGAAAAAAAAAAAAAAAAAGCCAGGCCTGATGGTGGGCACCTGTAATCCCAGCTACTCAGGAGGCTGAAGCAGGAGAATCGCTTGAACTCTGGAGGGAGAGGTTGCAGTGAGCCAAGATTGTGCCATTGCACTCCAGCCTGGGTGACAAGAGTAAAACTCCATCTCAAAAAAAATAAAAAATTAAAAATAATGAATTTTACATATTAGAAGGTGATAGTGGTATGGCAAAAACAAAGAATAGGTCAGTGTAGAGAACCAAAAGAGCTGGAGGTTGGGCTGGGTGTGGTGGCTCATACCTGTAATCCCAGCACTTTGGAAGGCCAAGGCGGGCAGATCACGAGGTCAGGAGATCGAGACCAACCTGGCTAACACGGTGAAACCCCGTCTCTACTAAAAATACAAAAAATTAGCCAGGCATGGTGGTATGCGCCTGTAGTCCCAGCTACTGGGGAGGCTGAGGCAGGAGAAAAGCTTCAACCCGGGAGGCGGAGGTTGCAGTGAGTCGAGATTATGCCACTGCACTCCAGCCTAGGTGACAGAGTAAAACTCTGTCTCAAAAAAAAAGAGTTGGAGGTTGGGATGAGTTAGGGTATTACATGGGGTAGTCAGGGTAGGTGTCATTGACGAAGTAAGATCTGAGCAAAGACTTAAAGAAAGTGAGAGCAAGCCAAGTAAATGTTGAGGGAAAGGTGATCGAGGAAGAGCGAACAGTCAGTGCAAAGGACTGCGGCTGAAGAGAAGACTGATTAAGAAGCCAATGTGGCTAAAGCTGAGTCACCAAGGGAATCATAGTAGAAGGGACCATAACACTAAGGACTTCGGCTTTTACATAGTGGACTAGGGAGCTATGCAGGTTTGGGACAGATGAATGACAAGATCTGTATTTTTAAAGGATCACCCTGACTGCTGTGTTGAAACTAGATTAGAAATGGGCCTGGTTAAAAGCAGGGGACCCAGTTAGGAAGCTATTGCAATAAACCAGATAAGAGATGATGCCTGGTTTTTTTTTTTTTTAAGCCTAAAATTAATCAACGTCTTTACCCACTTCCTAGACAGAGCTTTAACTCTGTTCATCTCTTTCTCGTCTTGCATAGTTGTCATTCACAATTTTATTTCTACTTTGTTTTTGTTTTTGTTTGAAACAAAGTCTCATTCCGTCACCCACGCTGGAGTGCGGTGGCACAATCGTAGATCACTGCACCCTCAACCACTTGGGCTCAAACAATCCTTTGTCCTCAGCCTCCCAGGTAACTGGGAATACAGGCATATGTCACCATGCCTGACTAAATTTTTATTTCTTGTAGAGATGGGTTTCACCATGCTGCTTAGGCTGGTCTTGAACTCCTGGGCTCAAGTAACCCTCCTGCCTTGGACTCCCAAAGTGCCAGGATTTCAGGCATGAGCCATGTGCCCAGTCTCCACTTTTGTTTTGTTTGTTTTGTTTTGTTTTTTGAGACAGAGTCTCATTCTGTCACCCAGGCTAGAGTGCAGTGGCATGATCTCAGCTCACTGCAACCTCTGCCTCCCAGGTTCAAGCGATTCTCCTGCCTTAGTCTTCTGAGTAGCTGGGACTACAGGTGCATGCCACCACAACTGGCTAATTTTTGTGTTTTTAGTAGAGATGGGTTTCACCATGTTGGCCAGGCTGGCCTCGAACCCCTGACCTCAAGTGATCCGCCCACCTCAGCCTCCCAAAGTGCTGGGATTACAGGTGTAAATTACTCACTATTATCATTATTGTTTTATAAAGGCATTTGCTTTTCTTTACTCATATATTTGTCAACCTACTTACTCACTATTCTTTCTTGCCTTTCTTTTCTTCCCTTTGGGTTGAATATCCTTCTAAAATGCACATTCTTTAGATGTTCCTTCAGTGAAGGTCTGTTAGTGAACAATTTTCATTGAATTTTTTAGACCTCATTCTTGAATGATAGTTTAGCCAGGTATAAAATTCTAGACTGACAGTTTTTTCTTTACTTTTTGGCTTCTATTGTTGCTACTCAGAAATCTGCTCTTAAAATTAATTATAGTTCTCTTACAGGTAATTTGTCTTTTCATTCTTATTGCCTTATATTTTTCTTTGTCTTTGGTATTCTGATATGTATGCTATATGATATACATGAATATGGAATGTGTTTTTAAAAATTCTACTTGGGGCTGGGCGTGGTGGCTCATGCCTATAGTCCCAGCACTTTGGGAGGCCAAGGTGGGCATATCACTTGAGGCCAGGAGTTCAAGCCCAGCCTGGCCAACATGGCAAAATCCCTTTTCTACTAAAAATACAAAAATTAGCTGGGCATGGTGGTGCATACCTGTAGTCCGAGCTATGTCAGGAAGCTGAGGCTGGAGAATCTCTTGAACCTGGGAACTCTGTTTCAAAAAAAAAAAAAAAAAAATTCTGCTTGGTGTTCCCTGTGATTTCCAAATCTGAATAGTCTTATTTTTCATGGATCCTGAATAATTCTTTTTTTGTTGTTGAGGCAGGGGCTCATCCTGTTGCCCAGGCTATAGTGAAATGGCACGATCATGGCTCACTGAAGCCTTGACCTCCCTGGGCACAAGTGATCCTCCCACCTCAGCCTCCCAAGTAGCTGAGACAATAGGCATGCACCACCATGCTCAGCTAATTTTTGTATTTTTTTGTAGAGATGGGGTTTTTTCATGTTGCCCCGGCTGGATGGATAATTCTTTACTACCACCTCTTTTACTATTGCCCACCACCAATTTTCTCTGTTTATCCACTCTAACACTCCACTGAGATATAAACATTTTTACTCAATCCTTCATGTCTCTTCTCTTCCTTATTTTCCATCACTTCATCTCCTTGTTCTGCATTGTGAGAAATTTCTTCAGATCTACATTCTCTTTTTTGAGACAGAGTTTCACTCTTATCACCCAGGTTGCCGTGCAGTGGTGCGATCTCAGCTCGCTGCAACCTTTGCCTCCTGGGTTCAAGCGATTCTCCTGCCTCAGCCTCCTGAGTAGATGGCATTACAGGTGTCCACCACCATGCTCAGCTAATTTTTGTATTTTTAGTAGAGACAGGGTTTCACCATGTTAGCCAGCCTAGTCTCGAACTCCTGACCTCAGGTGATCCACCCACCTAAAGTGCTGGGATTACAGGCGTGAGCCAACATGCCCAGCCCCAGATCTGCTTTCTAAATCAATGCTTTTCAGTTGTTCTGTTTTGCTCTTTAACTCATCCCTTAAGGATTTCTTTTTTCAATGATTTTATTTTTCACTTCCAGAAATTCTACTTGAATCTTTTTCAGATCTACCCAGAAACAATCTCTCAATCTGTAGTCATGTTTTTAATTCTTGTTTTTATATCAGACATATTTTTATAAGGTATACCCAAGAATTATACGAAGTTCTTGAAAGTGTAATTCTACTGTCTGACATTTCTGCTGACTCTTGCTCATGTTTCCTTGCGCATTTTGTACTGTGAACTCAAATTTCACGGGCCTTTGTATGTGGTACTCCTGTACAACCTGTTTATAAAGTGAATCCCTCCAAATAAATGTTTAGTTTGCTTTCTAATAATGTCTAATAATAAACCATACAATATTTAGGTTCCTGAGGGTTTTTTCTTCAATATTTAGGACATATACTAAAAAGTTACTTCTTATTGACATTCAAATTTTATTATTATTATTATCATTATTATTATTATCATTATTATTATTATTATTATTTGAGACAGAGTCTCGCTCTGTTACCCAGGTTGGAGTGCAATGGCACAATCTTGACTTACTGCAACCTCTGCCTCCTGGGTTCAAGCAATTCTCCTGTCTTAGCCTCCCAAGTAGCTGAGACTACAGGCACCTGCCATCACGCCCAGCTAATTTTTTGTATTTTTAGTAAAGATGGGGGTTTCACCATGTTAACCAGGATGTTCTCAATCTCCTGACCTCATGATCCACCCACGTCGGCCTCCCCAAGTGTTGGGATTACAAGCGTGAGTCACCGTGCCCGGTCAACATTCAAATTTAACTGGACTCCTACATTTTATCTAGTAGAAAATGTTTTGGCCAGGCACAGTGGCTCACACCTGTAATTCCAGCACTTAGGAGGCTGAGGTGGGTGGATCACCTCAGATCAGGAGTTTGAGACCAGCCTGGTCAATATGGCGAAACCCGGTCTCTACTAAAAATACAGAAATTAGCCGGGTGTGATGGGCACTTGTAGTTCTAACTACTTGGGAGGCTAAGGCAGAAGAATCGCTTGTACCTGGGAGGCAGAGGTTGTAGTGAGCAGAGATCACACCACTGCACTCCAGCCTGGGTGACAGAGCAAGACTTCATCTCAAAAATAAATAAATAAATAAATAATTTTTTAAAAATTGTTTAATCTTCTGTAGTTTCTCTTCGCATCACTTGATGTGAAGCCAAATTCATATCTCCTATCCCCAAATGGTTGCTAAAACTTCAGTACTTTACTTGCCAAAATTGGCAAATTAGCAAAACAAAACAAAATGTAAAACAAACAAAAAAAGCCTCAACCTTATCACTCTAGATTCCATTTCTTCTTGGTTTTGATTTCCTCTTGCTTTTGACCTTTTGGGATTTCCCTTGCTTCAGAAGGAAGTCTTAGGATTAGTCTTTTGGAAAATGGAAGGCCAAAAATCTTACAGGTCACTTCTGCTTGTTGCATTCCCACATACCTCCCCTGAGGCCACCAGGACAGATTTGGCTGCCTGCTTGGTTGGAGAAAGGGCAAAATACAGGGAAACAAAATAGAAACTGATTTTCCAACATAGAATCCATCCACACAGGTAGCAGTCTTGGCTACAGTCAGTTATCAGGTGAGGTCATTCTTGTGCTTACTGAAAAAGATTATTTTCTTCTTCTCATTGTACTGCAGCAAAGCCTTCTAGACAAGCTCAGTGGAATCTGAAGGGCCCATCCCATGGAGGAATGCTGGGTGACAGAGATAGCCAATGGCTCCAAGAATGGCTTGGATTTCAACCCTATGAAGGATTACATGATCCTGAGTGGTCCCCAGAAAATAGCTGTTGCCGTGTTGTGCACTCTTCTGGGCCTGCTAAGTGCCCTGGAGAACGTGACTGTACTCTGTCTGATCCTGTCCTCCCACCGGCTCCGCCAGAAGCCCTCATACCTGTTCATTGGCAGCTTGGCTGGAGCCGACTTCCTGGCCAGTGTGGTCTTTGCATGCAGCTTTGTGAATTTTCATGTTTTCCATGGTATGGATTCCAAGGCTGTCTTCCTGCTGAAGATTGGCAGCGTGACCATGACCTTCACAGCCTCTGTGGGTAGCCTGCTGCTGACCGCCATTGACCGATACCTCTGCCTGCGCTACCCACCCTCCTACAAAGCTCTGCTCACCCGCGGGAGGGCACTGGTGACCCTGGGCATCATGTGGGTCCTCTCAGCACTGGTCTCCTACCTGCCGCTCATGGGATGGACTTGCTGTCCCAGGCCCTGCTCGGAGCTTTTCCCACTGATCCCCAATGACTACCTGCTGGGCTGGCTCCTGTTCATCGCCTTCCTCTTTTCCGGAATCATCTACACCTATGGGCATGTTCTCTGGAAAGCCCATCAGCATGTAGCCAGTTTGTCTGGGCACCAGGACAGGCAGATGCCAGGAATGGCCCGAATGAGGCTGGACGTGAGGTTGGCCAAGACCCTGGGGCTGGTGCTGGCTGTGCTCCTCATCTGTTGGTTCCCAGTGCTGGCCCTCATGGTCCACAGCCTGGCCACTACACTCAGCGACCAGGTCAAGAAGGCCTTTGCCTTCTGCTCCATGCTGTGCCTCGTCAACTCCATGGTCAACCCTGTCATCTATGCTCTGCGGAGTGGGGAGATCCGCTCCTCTGCCCATCACTGCCTGGCTCGCTGGAGGAAGTGTGTGAGGGGCCTTGGGTCAGAGGCAAAAGAAGAAGCCCCGAGGTCCTCAGTCACCGAGACAGAGGCTGATGGGAAAATCACTCCGTGGCCAGATTCCAGAGATCTAGACCACTCCAGTTGCTGATGAGGCCTCTTCCCAATTTAAACAACTCAAGTCAGAAATCAATTCACTCCCTGGAGGAGAGAGAGGGGTCTTGGCACTCTCTTCTTACTTGAACCAGCCCCAGACACCTAGACACGGACCCGTTTTTGCTGATGAGTATTGGAACTGACTCCTGGAAGGCAGCCTGGCCTTGCCCACCTGCACACAGTCTGTTGGATAGGTAGGGCCCACGAGGAGTAGCCAGGTGGGCGAGATGCGAAGGGCCTGGGACAGGCTCAGTACAAGTCAAGTCAGGCTTTGTGCCTGCATCCTCCAGAGACCACAGGAGCCAGAGGGAGCCTCCAGGCCCAGCAAAGAGGGACTTGGGAGAAATCTGAGAAGAATGGGTTGTTCTCTTGGGAAGTCAGGGTATCAGATGGGATGGACATCCAGGTCTTCTCCCTGCCTAATTGTCAAGGCCTTCTTGGCTCTGGAGCTATGAAAGGCCCCAACTTTCAGGTCACCCTTGCCACTGAGGACCGAGAACTATGCTATGATAAGGATTAAGAGTGTTGACTTGCCTCTTTCAAAGATAAATGACAAGCCTTCAGTTTGGGGCATCCTGCTGTTTGGGCGAGGACCCTCTCTGATATTCTAATAATCCCCACCTGTAACCTCAGGTCCCTGGAAATACAGAGGAGGCTGGGATCGCTTGAGACACAAAAATCTTCAGAGAATTTTCTTGACCCTCTGAAGTCCTTCCAGCAGCAGTCCTGGTGGTGCTGCTGGAAACAGGCAATGTCCTGGTCTAACCTAACTCTAAAAAAAAGGAAGATATTCACAAAGATTGTATAAATCCCCAAACTGTACCCCCACCCGCCCCCAATTCAGCTCCCTTGCCTCCTCCACACCCCTATAACATATAATAAGCAGAGCAAGTGAGAGGAGGGGAAATGCCCTTCCTATATGCCAGGTATGGGGCTGACATTTCAGTCCATTAACCCCAGCTAGAATATAACTCCATGCTTTTATAGATCCTAGGGGCCAGGCGCGGTAGCTCACGCCTGTAATCCCAGCACTTCGGGAGGCCAAGGCGGGTGGATCACCTGAGGTCAGGAGTTTGAGACCAGTCTGACCAATATGGTGAAACCCTGTCTCTACTAAAAATACAAAAATTAGCCGGGCATGGTGGCAAGTGCCTGTAGTCCCAGCCACTCGGGAGGCTGAGACAGGAGAATTGCTTGAACCTGGGAGACGGAGGTTGCAGTGAGCCAAGATCGCACCACTGCACTCCAGCCTGGGCAACAGAGTGAGACTCTGTCTCAAAAAAATAAAATAAAATAGATCCCAGGATACCCACTTTTCATATTAGGGAGGCTGGGTTCCTCCCCAAGGAGTCTAAAACAGCCAACAAGAGAAATTGTTGGTGGCAGGAGGATTGCAGAGGAATTCTAATGCAATTATTTGGGACCACAGATGGAATACAATGAACGATATAGGTTAAACATGTCTTCGTTTAATACTTTCAAGACGAAATATCCACTAGCTATTCACTTATTTATTCATCTCATAAACATGAGCCAGGCTCTGTGCAGGGTCCTGAGTACCCAGCCATAAATGAGACTGTGCCCCTATCTCATGGGACTTACAGTCTATATCCTACTTGCAAGACAGTCAATAAGTCAATAAAGAAGATAATTGCAGGTGGTACAACAAAGGAAATATGCAGGGTCATGTAATAGGGATTAATTGAGTTAACTCAATTAATGGTAGGGTAGACCTACCATGTGCTCTGGTCATACAAGCCAGCTCACTTTATTGAGCCTTTACTATGTGCCAGGCAGGGGGCTAAGTGATTTTAAATGCCTTATTTCACTTTGTCTTTCCCAGTAACCTAATAAGAAGGTCTTAGTTATCTTCATTTTATAGATGTGGCAACCTCAAAGATGCAAAGTCACTTGCCTAAGGTCACCCTGCTAAGTGCCAGAGCTGAGGTCTCCAACCTAGTTCTGCTTGACTTCAAAACCTGCCCTCTTAACCACTAACCTTTTGGCCTAGTTCAGTCAAATTCTGCTTGATTATTGCTCATTAGGGATAATATTAGCTATCTGTAGCATCAGATTGCTGCAAAGTTAACTCATCGTAGAGTCTCAATATACTCCATTTATTAAATAGTCCTGTATTAATCTCCTGTAATAAATTTCTACAAATCCGGTGGCTTAACAACAGAAACTTACTCTCATAATTCTGGAGGCCAGAAGTCAAAATCAAGGTGTAGTAGGGCCCTGCTCCCTCCAAGAGTTTCAGGGGAGGATTATTCCTTGACTCTTTCAACTTCTGGTAGTCCCTGTCATTCCTTGGCTTGCGGAAACATCACTCCTACCTCTGCCTCTGTCTTCATATGGCCTTTCCTCTGTGTCTCTTGGTGTCTTTTTTTTTTTTTTTCCTTTGAGACTGAGTCTCATTCTGTTGCCTAGGCAGGAGTGCAGTGGCACGATCTTGGCTCACTGAAACCTCCGCCTCTCAGGTTCAAGTGATTCTCCTGCCTCAGCCTCCCAAGTAGCTGGGACTACAGGCACCTGCTACCATGCTTGGCTAATTTTTGTATTTTTAGTAGAGATGGGGTTTCACTGTCTTGCCCAGGCTGCTCTCGAACTCCTGACCTCAAGTGATCCGCCCACCTCAGCCTCCCAAAGTGCTGGGATTACAGACGTAGTCCACTGTACCCGGCCTGGTGTCTTTTTTAAAGAACACCAATCACTGGATTTTGGCCCAACCTAATCTAGTATGACTTCATCTTAATTTAACTAATTATATTTACAGAGACCCTGTTTCCAAACAAGGTCACATTCATGATTCAGGTGGACAAGTTTAGGGGACACTATGCAACTCAGTACAGACCCGGAACAAAGTCCACCCTCTGGGCTGTGTTGGAGTGGCAGTCTGGTTTATCCTACCCCCCCACCAGAGATGAGCTCCCAGGTTTACCTCTGCATCCCCAGTGCTCAGTCAGGACCCAGCAGTGCATCTGGAGAGGGATCTGGTCAATATCTGTGAAACTGAACTGTTTCTGAAAAACTCCTGATGTATATCTAGGAAAATCAAATCTTATTTTAACCCAGACATAATCTTTTGAAAGGCAGAAGTGGCACCGTGTTTTAGGGGAATTTGCGTTTATATGTTGTCATTCCTTAAGTTGAAGCATGCCTTTCTTTATTCATCGGTGGAATCCTTTCTCATTTGTAGAAAATGCCCAAGTGCCTGGCACAAACAAGCACTGAGTAAATGCTTCTTGAATGGATAAACTAGATTCTAAAAATCATTTAATTAAAGTACACCTCCACACTTTCACTTCTTTCCTTTCCACGCGACACTGTATTCTGCTTTTTTGGGGGATGAGGACAAAGTCTCCTCTATGCAGGTTGGAGTGCAGTGGCATGCAGTGTGGCTCACTGCAACCTCCGCCTCCCAGTTCAAGCAATTCTTCACCTCAGCCTCCCAAGTAGCTGGGATTACAGGCACTGCCACCATGCCCGGCTAATTTTTGTATTTTAGTAGAGACAGAATTTCACCATGTTGGCCAGGCTGGTCTTGAACTCCTGACTTCAAGTGATCCACCCACCTTGGCCTCTCAAAGTGCTAGGATTACAGGTGTAAGCCACCACTCCCAGCCTCTATGTCTGCTTTAAGTAGAAGCAGGCTTATGAGGAGGAGAACAAAGTGCAAAAGGGACCTAGATGTCACTAAGAACTGCCTTGTTGTTTTGGTTGAGAAATGGGCCCAGACAGTGGACAAGACTTGCTCAAGGAGACAAATGAGATGGTGTCCAGTGCAACAAACCCAGGTTTCCTAACTTCTAGTTTTGTTCACTCTACATCGATGCCTCTCATCTGTCCCTGCAAGTGCACGTTTTAAGTTATGTGGATAAGGAGAAATAAGTAAGAATCACAGTGTCCCATTTTATCTTCCCCAAGACAAGCTCTATAACATCAAAGACCACTATGCAAACCGATTACTAGAAAATGTGTGTGGATAGGTTTTTGGTTTTCTAAGGTGTTCATGCTTACTGTTTTGGGCAATATTTCAAAATAATCTGGCAGAGGAAGAAACAGAAGATAAAATAGCTGTGGGCCGGGTGCAGTGGCTCACGCCTGTAATCCCAGCACTTTGGGAGGCCAAGGCTGGAGGATTGCTTGAGGTCAGGGAGTTCGAGGCAGGCCTGGTCAGCATGGTGAAACCCCATCTCTATTAAAAATACAATAATTAGCCAGGCATAGTGACTTACCTGTAATCCCAGCTACTTGGGAGGTTGGGGCAGGAGGCTGGCGGAGCAGGAGTGGAGGTTGCAGTGAGCAAGATACAACACTACACTCCAGCCTGGGTGACAGAGCAAGACTCCATCTCAAAAAAAAGAAAAGAAAGAAAGAAAAGAAAGAAAGAAAGAAAGAAAAAGAGAGAGAAGAAAATGGCTGTGGTTCAATATAATCAGCTATCTCTCATATCCTAGAAATAAAGAAAGTACTAAATTCTATCAACATAGCTCTAACTTCTCATGAAGTCACCACACCTCATTTCAAAAACCTCAGCCCCACAGAGAACATAGAATTCATCCAACTCTAACCAACAAAAAAAAAATGGGTCTTGCAGGCCCCGGCCTCTCTGGGTTTCAGTTCCTCTTCTTAGCCACCCAGTAGGAAGGGTGAGGGAGGATGATGGTGCCTAGGATCTTCAGTCCTTCCAACTCTGAAGCTGCCATTCTCTCACTGGCATGTGGGAACTGAGTGTGTGCTACGTAGAGGTCATGAGACTTCTTTTTTTTTTTTTTTTGAGGCGGAGTCTCACTCTGTCGCCCAGGCTGGAGTGCAGTGGTGTGATCTTAGTTCACTGTTTTTGTTTTGTTTTTGTTTGTTTTGTTTTTCGAGATGGAGTCTCGCTCTGTCGCCCAGGCTGGAGTGCAGTGGCCGGATCTCAGCTCACTGCAAGCTCCGCCTCCCGGGTTCACGCCACATTCTCTGGCTCAGCCTCCCGAGTAGCTGGGACTACAGGCGCCCACCACTTCGCCCGGCTAATTTTTGTATTTTTAGGTAGACGGGGTTTCACCATGTTAGCAGGATGGTCTCGATCTCCTGACCTCGTGATCCGCCCGTCTCGGCCTCCCAAAGTACTGGGATTACAGGCTTGAGCCACCGCGCCCGGCCCAGATCTTGGCTCACTGTAACCTCCACCTCCGGAGTTCAAGCTATTCTCCTGCCTCAGCCTCCTGAGTAGCTGGGATTACAGGCGCACCCCACGCCCGGCTAATTTTGTATTTTCAGTAGAGATGGGGTTTCACCATGTTGGCCAGGCTGGTCTCAAACTCCCGACCTCAGGTGATCCGCCCACCTCGGCCTCCCAAAGTGCTGGGATTACAGGCGTGAGCCACCTTGTCAGTCCAGAGACTTCTACTGACTTCTGTATTACCTGGCCCAATAGCCTCACACTCCGTTTGAGTATGTGCAGCATGTACAAATTGCAGAGGAACTGGGAAACTTCCCTGCCAGGCAATCCTTTGGCCTGGGTCCTCTTGCTCTCCACTTTCTCTCTCTTTCTCTCTTTCTCTTTCTCTCTTTCTTTCTTTCTTTTTTTTTCAGACAGGGTCTGGCTCTGTCGCCCACGGTCTGGAGTGCAGTGGCGTGATGTCGGTAGAAACTAAACTATTTGAAATGCCTCAGAATTCCCAAAGAAAGCTCAGTAAATACAGACAGATGAAAACGGTCCTGCCCACTCCCCCTCTTTCAGTACCCACTTTTTCTCCCTCCTCTCCTCACAATGTTTCCTCATCATCCCTCTACCTCCTCATTTCTGTCAGGGCTGTTAGATACCCTTCCAGTCTGGTATCTCCTCCTCCAGCCCCTAGCTCCAAGTGATCACTAAAAACTTGCTTGATCTGACGCCCAGCCTACCCCTACTGCAAGTTACTGCAGCAAAATGAATTAATCCCAGAGGCGTGATCACAGTTGATTCACTGCAGCCCAAACTTCCGGGCTCAAGCGATCCCGAACCTCCCACCTCAACCTCCTGAGTAGCTGGGACTCAGAGGTGCACCACCACGCCAGGCTCATTTTGTTACACGCTAGCGACAGGCTAGTCTCCAACTTGTGGGCTCAGAGTGTTGGATTACAGGCGTGAGCCTGCGCCTGTGGCTCAATGGACTTCTTAAATGTGAGTTCTCCGCACACACTGGGCCTTGCTCACCGCCACGATTTAACCTCGCAGTTAAAGTCCCTTTAAGGTTTTATTCGTCCTTCAGCGAAGCGCTGTCAACGCCATCCTACGTCTTTCCGGGTTAAAAATTGCAGGGCGCTCTTCAGCAGGCCCGAAGAGGAAGCGACTCGGGCCAACCTATCCGGGTTGTCCCACCCTTTTTCCTTCGGGCCAATCGTTAGTCAGAGTGGGCGGAGCCGCGCGCCAGCACCTGCGGATAGAGTGGAGGCCGCGTCGCCTCGGGCAGCAAGTCGGGCACCGGGAAGAGGCGGCAGCCGGCGGGTCCGCGCTGTGGCTGCTGCTGCTCCTCCTTGGAGCTACCAGCAGGTATTGCGTCGGGCCAACCTCTGCGCGCTACACCCCGGACGCTGGCCGAGCCTGGATTCTAGGCCGCTGCGTCGCCAGCCGACGAGCCAAGTTCAGGTGTTCATCCACTGGGGCGTGTTCTCGGTGCCCGCCTGGGGCGCGAGTGGTTCTGGTGGAACTGGCAGGGCGAGGAGCGGCCGCAGTGCCAGCGCTTCATGCGTGACAACTACCCGCCCGGCTTCAGCTACGCCGACTGGACGCGTTTGCGCGCTTCTTTTCCACCCGGAGGAGTGGGCCGACCTCTTCAGGCCGCGGGCGCATAAAGTGAGTGTGGTCCCGGGGGCGGCGCGCTTCGGCTCGGTGGCAGACAGGAGGTGGGGTGGGCGGCCAGCCGGGGCGCGCAGCTGCCGGTAGCCCCCATGACCCCGGGACCCGCGTGTGGCCTCTTGCGGCCGCAGGAGTGAGCGTGGCACACCTGATGAGGAGGAGGAGGTGCGTCTGGCTGGGCACTGATAAATGAAGGTTCGGGAGATGGCGGACTGGGAAGCCCTGGGTATCTACACCTGTGCACCGAGAGGGCTGAGTTAGGCCACTGATGTCCCTTTCAGATTGGCAGCCCTATCAGGACTCCAGGGTTTCAAATCAGTGGTGTGGAGCCTGGTTCTAATTCAACTGTGAACCTGGACAAGTCCTTCCAGCCTCCCTGCAGCCTCTTCTATGGTTATAGAAAGGGTTGTATCCTTTCCTTTCCAGTCTAATGTCTCTAAGAGGAAAAGAGAGGGGAGTTCTGGTGTGCAGTGTGTTTGGGCAACAGTACAGATAGTCATTCGTTTGCTCCTCTCAATCCCTTGTACGTAGGAAGTGCCCAAGAAAGGTTTGACTCCTGAGAACTGTTGGAACTTGGGGTGGCTGGTTCAGACAACAGAGTAGAAGCACTGGGGTGGGGATAAGGGGAGACCAGGGCGCAAGTTGTCAAGGCAGGGCCTTATCCTGAAGGAGTGAGCCTTGAGAGCCCTGTATTTCCAGGTGTTAAGTCAGGGAGTGGTTACTCTCAGCTTCTAGAAAGATTCATTCGGCTGCTGGGAGAGAAGTGGGTTGGAGAAGAGTAAGAATGGGCGGGGAGAGTTTCCCCAGCCCCTGGCTTAGAGCGATCTTCCATCCTTATCTTGGTTCCTAAGCTATCTTCCGGGTTTTCGTTTCTCTTGAACTTTGGATTCTCTTGTACAAAACAGAAATTATAACTGGCATTTAGTGTTTGCCATTAAATGTGTAGGAGTATAAGACTTGATTAAGCAGAGGGGCGTGTTTATCTCCTAGGACCTTAGAGTTCCATAACTTATAAGTGAGAAAAATTAAAATCTGGGAGATAGCCTCTTTCCCTGCCTTTTATTTCATGGATGAGATGACTGGCCCAAAGAGAGGAAGAAATACAATGTCCTGGACTGCAGGTCTCATGACATCAGGTTATTTACACTGCACCAGGATCTGCAAACTGGTCAGCGAAGTTGATCCTCTGCCATTTTTGTTTGTTTGTTTGTTCGTTTATTTGTGTTTTTTTTTTTTTTTTTTGGTTTTTGTTTGTTTTTTTGAGACAGAGTCTCGCTCTGTCGCCCAGGCTGGAGTGCAGTGGCGTGATCTCCGGCAGTGCAAGCTCCGCCCCCTGGATTCATGCCATTCTCCTGCCTCAGCCTCCTGAGTAGCTGAGACTACAGGTGCCCACCACGCCCGGCTAATTTTTTTGTATTTTTAGTAGAGACGGGGTTTCACAGTGTTCGCCAGGATAGTCTCGATCTCCTGACCTCGTGGTCATCGCCTCAGCCTCCCAAAGTGCTGGGGTTACAGCGTGAGCCACCTCACCAGCCTGTTTGTTTTTTTGAGACAGAGTTTAACTCTTGTTGCCCAGGCTGGAGTGCAGTGGCGTGATCTTGGCTCACTGCAACCTCCACCTCCTGGGTCCGGTTCAGCGTTCTCCTGCCTCAGCCTCCTGAGTAGCTGAGATCACAGGCACGCACCACTACACCCAGCTAATTTTTGTATATTTAGTGGAGACAGGGTTCACCATGTTGGCCAGGCTGGTCTCAAACTTCTGACCTTGTGATCTGCCCGCCTCGGCCTCCCAAAGTGCTGGGATTGCAGGCGTGAGCCACGCATGAACTCTGCCAGTTTTAAGGCCCATGAAGTGAGGAATGGTTTTTACATTTTTAAAGGATTGTAAAATTTTAAAGAAGAATACACTGCAGAGAGAATGTGCCCACAGAGCCTAAAAAGGACTTGGTCCTTCAAGTCCTGGAGTTCCCTACTCTGGCCAGTGATTGAATCATAAAGTGCAGGTATTACCTGTTTTTCTGCCATAAAAGCAAATTAAATATTGAGTGATTTGGTTGTTATTTCAGCACTTGCCTTTTCTCCCAGTTATTGGGTCTTTTGTTACCTCTATAATAAATGAGAGGCAATTTATGTAGGCTTGGTAAATCAAACAGCTTAGTTTTCTGTTTTCTTATTTGTTGTTGTTGTTGTTGTTTTGAAACAGTTTTGCTCTGTAGCCCAGGCTGGAGTACAGTTGCACGATCTCGGCTCACTGCAACCTCCGGCTCTCCCAGGCTCAAGTAATTCTTGTGCTCAGCCCTCTCAAGTACCTGGGACTACAGGCACACACCACCATACCCAGCTAATTTTTGTATTTTTAGTAGAGATGGGTTTTCGCCATGTTGGCCAGATTGGTCTTGAACCCCTGACCTCAGGTAATCCGCCCGCCTTGGCCTCCCAAAGTGCTGGGATTATGGGTGTGAGCCACCATGCCTGGCCAGCAAATGGCTTAGTTTTCTGTCATCTGCCATTTCCAGTAGAGATCTTTCTCTTTCCAGGGCAAGAGTGAAAGAAAGTTAATCATTTCTACCAGAAATGTTGAAGAATCACAGAGCTAAGGTGCACTTCTTTTCCCTTACCTACTTCTTCCTTCCCTCTGGGCCTCCTCCTTCACTAGGAACTGAGGGTTGGGACTTCCTCAAATCTGCTTCCGTTCCTGGAGCAATGCCCAAGGGGAATTGTGACTGCAGCAGCTTCTTGGATATCACTAATATAGTCACTGGTACAAGTACATTTGTTGTGGTCAAGTTCTTTCAGCCATTTAAAAGCCTCAGGCGTGCCTGTGAAGTTCATGCAAGTTCACTGCCTTCCTTTGCTCATGTGGTTTGCTGTCCACAGGTATGTAGTTTTGACGAATAAAGCATCATGAAGGCTTCACAAACTGGCCGAGTCCTGTGTCTTGGAACTGGAACTCCAAGGATGTGGGGCCTCATCGGGATTTGGTTGGTGAATTGGGAACAGCTCTCCGGAAGAGGTGGGTGTCTAGGGATGGTTACCCTGTCATCTCTGGATCTGGCTCTCAAGAGTTCTGTACCTTCTCTACTCTCGTGTGTTTTCTAGGTTTGCAAATAGCAAGTAGCAGGAAGGGCTTACAGCTGAATTAGCAGTGTTTCATGCTTCACAGTTTTCACGTGACCAAAGGGGACACCATTAGAGAAGTTCATGGCCATATTTGGTTAGATGAAGGATAACCAACATAGACTACGATGCTACTTGATGTCACTGTTTGAGGTAAGCTGAGTGTATAAATCATAAAGTTTGATTGGAACACAGCCATGCCTATTCATTTATGCACTGTCTATGATGGCTTTCCAAGTTACAATTGAAGCTGAGATAAGAGACCAAATGACCTGCAAAACCTAAAATACTATCTGAACCTTTAAGAGTTTGCTGGCCGGGCACGGTGGCTCAAGCCTATAATCCCAGCACTTTGGGAGGCCGAGAGGCAGGGCAGATCAAGAGGTCAGGAGATCGAGACCATCCTGGCTAACACGGTGAAACCCCGTCTCTACTAAAAATACAAAATAGCCGGGCGTGGTAGGCGGGCGCCTGTAGTCCCAGCTACTCGGGAGGCTGAGGCAGGAGAATGGCGTAAACCCGGGAGGCGGAGCTTGCAGTTAGCTGAGATCTGGCCATTTGCACTCCAGTCTGGCGACAGGCGAGACTCAGTCTCGAAAAAAAAAGTTTGCTGGTCGGGTGTGGTGATTCACCTGTAATCCCAGCACTTTGGGAGGCAGAGGCAGGGCGAGATCCACAAAATCAAATTCAAAACCAACACCTCCTATCTCTCACTTTCTCTCTCTCACTCCATGCCCAAGCGTGTGCAGCCCCCACCTATATCCGGCTGCTCCCGGGAGGCTGGGTAGGAGAATGGCCGAACCGGGAGGTGGAGGTTGCAGTGAGCCGAATCACGCCACTGCGCTCCCGCCTGGGTGACAGAGCGAGACTCCGTCTCCAAAGAAAAAAAGAGTTTGCTGACTCTGTCACCTGCTCAGTTTGTTTCTCAGCACTGTGTACCTTATAGTCCTGCTGTAAAACTCTGAGATGTTGATTAGACATGGACTTTAGAGTCACCGATTTTTACCACCTTTATTTAGTCTGTGGTTCATATGATGAAATGCTTCAGTTATTTTTATCTGTGCCATTGTTTCTTGCATCGTGAGTTTTTGTAACACTCACCATTCTTAACCCAAAGTAGGCTTTGTTAGTGTGAAATTAAATCATCAACCACATTTCATTTAGGTATGTTACAAGAACTATTAGTAAATCTTGATAAATAAAACAATAAACCTATATTCATTTCTTTATTATTATGGAAAATGTTACTAATGATTGTTTCTGAGTAAGAGTACTTTGAATATTTTATTTTCTATTTTCCAGTTTCTTTAAATATGAAATTTTATGATTGACAGGAAGATATTTTTAAAAATAGGACTATATGCTTTTTTGTTTTGTTTTGTTTTGTTTTTGTTTTGAGACAGAGCCTCACTCTGTTGCCTTTGCTGAAACTCAATGGCACAATCTCAGCTCACTGCAATCTCTACCTCCTGAGCTCAAGCCATCCTCCCACTTTAGCCTCCCAAGTAGCTGGGACTACAGGCTCGCACCACCACATTCGGCTAATTTTTTTAATTTTTTTGTGAGACAAAGGTCTCACTATGTTGCCAGGCTAGTCTCAAACTGCGTGGACTCAGGGATCCTCCCACCTCAGCCTCCCAAAGTGCTGGGATTACAGGCATGAGCCACCACGCCTGGCAGGACTATACACTGTTAGGATAATTGACTTAAGCGATAAAGATGGTTTTAAATAGCATTTTTGTTGTTAAGATATTTATGTATAAAAGGTAGTTGTGTATATAATCAAAAAAACACAGTAAGCCTTATGTTGCTTAAGTGAATGGTGAATAATTTAAGGAAATGGTTTTTTTTTTTTTTTTTTTTTTGAGACGGAGTCTTGCTCTGTCGCCCAGGCTGGAATGCAGTGGCTGGATCTCAGCTCACTGCAGCTCCACGCCTCCCAGGTTTACGCCATTCTCCTGCCTCAGCCTCCCGAGTAGCTGGGACTACAGGCGCCCGCCACCTCGCCCGGTTTTTTTTTTTTTTTGTATTTTTCGTAGAGACGGGGTTTCACTGTGTTAGCCGTGGTCTCCTGACCTCGTGATCCGCCCGTCTCGGCCTCCCAAAGTGCTGGGATTACAGGCAAGGCTACCGCGCCCGGCCAGGAAATGGTTTTGAATCCCATCCCTCTCTACATGCTCTTATGAGTGAGTCTCAATGAGATGAAAAAATGCTAGAACTGAGCAGAATTGTTTGTTCTATGCTTAATGACAGTTGTCATTCTGTTTTCTGTTTAGGAACATCCGCTATGGACTATACCACTCACTCTTGAAATTGGTTCCATCCACTCTATCTCACTTGATAAGAAAAATGGCTTCAAACACAGTATTTTTACATTAGACACCCAAAAACAATGCAGAGCTGCTGCGACCTTGTTAACAGGTAAGACACAGAAATATTTTGGCCCTAGGCTTTTATCAAAGAAATCAAGAGCCTCCAATAAAGGTGCTATTAGTAGGAGGAGGATAGTATAGAAAAAAAAATACAAAGACATCAAAAAATAATAAATAGTGGTTGTGGCCAGGCATGGTGACTCAGCCTGTAATCCTAGCACTTTGGGAGGCTGAGGAGTGGACAGATCCCACAAAGATCACTTTGAGGTGGAGACCATACAGCTAACGCGGTGAAACCCCATCTTACTAAAAATAAAAAACTTAGCTGGAGTGGTTGTGGCGCCTGCGTCCCATCACCAAAACTAAACAAGGCGCTCAGCATATGAAGCTTTCAGGCAGGCTTTCCCAGTGGCAGATCTCACCACTACCTCAGCCTAGCAACAAGTAAAACTCTATCTCATCGTCGTCAGTAATGAACAAAATATGTTCAACCTCCCTCCTGCTTTTCAGAACACAATCATGTAGTCATTCATATGACCCAAACAGTCACAAAGCCCAGGATGGCAGAAAGTCAGAATTTTGAAAGTTCCATGCCCATACCATTTTCCGTGTCAGGACCCTGGAGGAAGGCGGTGGTTTGGCATCAGGCAGTTGTGCCCGACTCCGCCTGTTACACACATGTGGGCCTCTCCTGAGCTTGATTCTCCTCTGGCAAAGTGGGGATAATAATGCCTTCTTTGTAGGGCTCAGAATAGTATGTGAAATGTATCTGTCATGGTGCACTTGCCTGGCTGAGGTGTTGTTATTATTACCATTATTCTTTAGGCAGTCACTTTCACTTAGGGATTTGTCACACAGACTTCTATGTTTTACCGTTTGCCTTTCTATGAGCCTGGGGACTCATAGAGAGATGATGAACCATAAGCTCAGGCAGCTCACAGTTTCTCACTTTGTAAAGGTTGGGGAAGGTGGTTGAGCTGTTTGTAATGGTCGGCAGCCAGGGCGGGTGGATCTTGAGTCAGGTTGAGACCCGGCCAGGTGGCCTCCCTCCTAGTAAATGGCCGGGTATTGCTGGTGCATTGTAGTCAGCTGCTGAGAGGCTGTGAGGCAGGAGATCTCTTGGAACTGGGAGAGCCTTGGGTTGCCAGTGAACTGAGATAGTGCTGCTTTGCTTCAGCCTGGGCTACAGAGGAAACTTTGTCTCCAAAAAAAAGAAAAGTCGGGCGTGGTGACAAGCCTGTAATCCCAGCACTTTGGGAGGCGAAATGGTGAGATCACCGAGGTCAGGAAATCGAGACCCTCTGTATGGGTGACCCGTCTCTACTAAAAAATACAAAAAATAGCAGTAGGGTGCAGTCCTGCGACTCGGAAGCTGAGGCAGAGAATGCAGCAAACCCGGGAGCGGAGCTTGCAGTGAGCTGAGATCCGACCACTGCCTCCAGCCTGGGCAACAGCCTTGAGACTCCGTCTCAAAAAAAAAAAAGAAAAGAAAAGAAAAGAAAAATTACCTTGTATTCAGATTCTATACAGATTATTTATTAAAAAATAGCTAGTTAGCAAGAGACCATCAGAGGCATGGTTGGGCATGCTGAATCTAAATCCCCATTCTTTCTACATACTTGGCTGTGTTGCCTTGAAAAAACTACTTATCTTTCAAGATCTTGGTTTCTCTATCTGTGAAATGGGGATAATAATATATCTTAGAATCATGAGAACTAATGATCAATGGTTCATTACTAGTACAATTTCTTATACAGAGTAAATCACAGACCATCTGTGTTATATCTTGCCATAGTGATCTTCCTAGGATTTACCTGCTAATTATGGAGTACAGTGGACAGTTTGGCATCAGGCAGATTTGTATTTGAGTTCAGCTCTGCATTGCCTGACCTTGTAACTAAAACAAATTGCCCTGCTGACATCAATTCTTGCTGCTCAAATAAAGAATAATGCTTACCATATAGGTATACACATATGTATCTATATATACACGTGTACACAATATGCATGCCTTATAGGGCTCAGAGTAATAATATGCTAAAGTACAAATGGGGCTGCAATAGATTCCATAAATCCTTTATAGTACAGACTTTGGTAATTATCCACAAAAATGCATTTTACAAATAGTTCAAACTCTTAAAACATCTTCAAGCAAATCTGCCAGTCTCTAGTCCTGAAACTACCATTTTGTTTACTTTTTAGCTGTGAAACACCATTCTTAACTAATTAGTTGCTGAAAGGAAACCAGATTGTTGTATGCTGATTATACCTCCATTTTCTAAAGCACATAAAAAAAATTCAAGGCAAACACAATGGCTTAATACCTAGCTAACACTTTGAGAAAGCTAGAGGCAGGTGATCACTTATTATAAAGGTTCTGACAGCCTGGCCAAGATGACAAAACACTGTCTGTGCACAATACAAAAATTAGCTGGACATGGTGGTGCACACCTGTAATCCCAGCTACTTGGGTGGCTGGAAGCCGTAAAAATCACTTGAACCCAGCAGGTAGAAAGTTGCAGTGGCTGAGATCACAGCACTGCACTCCAGCCTGGGGGACAAGGCAAGACACTGTCTCAAAAGGAAAGGGAAAGATCAGGAGAAATATACCAAAATGCTGGTGTTTTAAACAGTGGTTTTATTATAAATCTTTTCAGTTTTCCACATCCTCTGCACTGTGATCATTTTTATGCCACATACTTTCCAAAATGGAGGAAAATTAATTTTAAAATGCTTATTACAAAAATCAGTCCACAAGTAAATCAAATACAGTAAATGCCACCTATCATCACTCTCAGAGAGCTGAAACAGAAAGATCAACAAACAGGATCTGGAACTGCTTAGTGCTGATCATGCCTGTTGATACATAGGGACTCAAGCCATGGGCAACATGGCAGTCCATCTCTCAAAAAAAAGTCCATAAGATATTACTGTGAACATAGATAATAGCTCTGTACAGTCATGTCTTTAGCTATAAGCCTGATCACAGTCTGGTCTGATGGGAGTGGGAATGTCTGATACTTTACCTGGAACTCCACAAATTTTCTTTCCTGGCTCTACAATGATAGCCCCGTCAAGGTATGTGATTATATGACTTCTTTCACTTATTTATCTCCTGAAGAAAGAAAGTACAGACTAAACTCTGGAGTAGACAACAGCAGCAGGAGCAATAATAAACAGGAATATCAACATGGGGGCAGTAGGGACTGGGAGCACTTAATGGATGTTAAAGTTTCTCCTTTAATCTTCCCTGGCTCCCACGTAGAGTATAGCTTTCTTCTCCTTTAGTTCTTTTTTTTTTTTTTTTTTTTGAAATTGACACAAGTCTTACTCTGTCGCACAGGTTAACGGAGTGCAGTGGCGTGGTCTCCGCATCACTGTAACCTCTGCCTCCCAGGTTCAAGTGATTCATTCTGCCTCCCAGCCTCTGAGTAGCTGAGATTACAAAGCGCCTGCCACCTGTCAGCTGATTTTGTGTTTTTAGTGAGACAGGGTTCACCATGTTGGCCAGGCTGTTCTCGGAGCCCTGACCTCCTGGTGATCCACTCACCTTGGCCTCCCAAAGTGCTGGGATTACAGGCGTGAGCCTGCCATGCCCGGCATTCTCCTTTAGTTCTTAACTTTGACTATGAAAGTTTAAACAATGATAAATTCACCAAGTAGACTAAAATAATAATTACAATTCCCAGACCCTCTGAAAATAAACTCTATAAGCAAATGTTATAAATGAAAATCACAAAAATATATTAAATTACATGCTAAAAAATATAAAGAAAACATAACATAAAGACATAAAAGCTTAGCGCAGCGGCTCATGCCTGTAATCCCAGCACTTTGGGAGGCCAAAGCAAGCAGATGACTTGAGCCCAGGAGTTCGAGACCAGCCTGGGCAACATAGTGAGACCTTGTCTCTATAGAAAAACAAAATTAACTGGATGTGGTGGCACAGATGAGTAGTCCCAGCTACTCGGAGACTGAATGTGGGAGGATCACTTGGGCCAGGTCAAAGGCTATAATGAACCTAGATCGTGCCATTGTACTCCAGCCTGGGTAACTGAGCAAAACCCTGTCTCCAAAAAAATAAAGAAAACATATATGCAAAACATACAAAATTAAATGGTAAAGATAAAACGCAAATGTGTAATCCCAACTACTCTACGTTGATTTTATAGTTTAACTCTCAGGGCATACTTCCCTTATATGCAAATCCTTCGGGAATGTGTGCAGTACCCCTCCTAATCCAGCACTATTAGGCAGTATATTGGCTGCCCACATTTACAGTTTTGTATTTTAGTGTACTTGCAAAGTAGCGGAAACCCCACTCTTCACTGTAGCAAATTTCAAAATTGTACATGTTCTAGATTTGTTGTGGATTTGAAAGAAAAATCTTAAGTGTAAATCCAGTTTATATTGAAATTACCTTGTAGTTCATAAATGTCTAAGAGTCATGCCGTTCTCTGTACTAAGCTCAGAAAATGGGGAGAAAGAAAAAAAACAGATTTCTATGAGTGCACAGAGACAGATTAAGAGTGGCTTTCTGAGGCCGGGAGTGGTGGCTCGCCCCCGTAATCCCAGCACTTTGGGAGGCCGAGGGTGGTGGATCACGAGGTCAGGAGTTCAAGACCAGCCTGGCCAAGATGGTGAAACCCCGTCTCTACTGAAAACACAAAAATTAGTCAGGCGTGAAGTAGTGGGTACCTGTAATCCCAACTCTCAGGAAGCTGAGGCAGAGAGTACTTGAACCCAGGAGGTGGAGGTTACCGGTGACCAGGGTGTGCCACTGCCTCCCAGCCCCTGGGTGACAGGCAGATCTCTGTCTCAAAAAAAAAAGTGGTGTTCTGGACTTGTTGAATGTTTGACGTCCAGTGTACGTGCATCCTGGGTAATGAACTCTGATGTGATGTCGTACTCATGTGTGTCACCTCCTATCTATCTCTACTAATCTCTACTAGATGGCAAAAACAAGCTTCTTCTTCTGCCAAAGCAATGTACCCCTATGCAAAACCTATGCATGTAGTACAGGCTTGTCGAGATAAGTAGAGTGGAGTATTGAACCAATAATTGGGTGTGCTTACATTTGTCTGAAATGGTGTCTATGTATATGTTCAGGGTGTATACCCCTGGAGCCAGTCAGCCTATATGATTACAGTCTAGTATTTATTACTTAGGGAGTATCATAGAAGGAAAAACAAGTGTAAAATTACAAGATTAGAAAAAGGAAAGAAAATATCAACCCCAGTGCCATTTAAAAGCATGACTAGCTAAACAGCTGAGCCTTTTTGGCCTCTTTTTTTTTTTCTTTTTTTTGAGATGGAAGTCTCACCTCTTATCAGGCTGGAGTGGTGTGCGCATGATCTCGGCTCACTGCAACCTCCGCCTCCTAGGTTCACACGATTCTCCTGGCTCAGCCTTCGAGATAGCACAGGATTACAGGACACACCACCACACCTGGCTAATTTTTTTGTATTTTTAGTAGAGATGGGGTTTCACCATGTGTGGACTAGTCTTGAACTCTTGACCTTGTACTCTACCCTCGGCCTCCCGAAGTACTGGGATTACAGGCATGAAACCACCCTCCCCCACCGGCCTCTTAACGATAATTCCTCAGCAACCCAGGACCTTCTATGTGACTGTGTGTCAGCCCATCCACACTAGCTTTGCAGACATATGGGGACTGTAGATTCTCCTTCATTTCTACCAGGATTTGTGAGAACCGGTGCTGTAGTGCCGCGCTCAGCCTGGAAATACTGGATAGATGGTTTCTGCCGGCTGATTAGGAGAGGACGGACATGGAGTGAGTGCATTTGTAAATTGACCATTGTGATGGTAGTGTCTCACCAGAGTCTCACCAATCCATAGACAACTGACTCGAATGCCAAGTGGAAGTACTGCAATGCTTGTAGGATGAAGGAGTGCATGGCTGTGTCTGTCCTTGGCCGGGCTGAGTGTGCAGGGAGCATTCATATCACCTGGGGACTCTGAAAGGGAGGTGTGGCGAGAAGGCCTCTTTCTGCTCTCTGTGCTGAGTCTGGGTACACTGTCACTTTTATCTCTCCCTCTCAAACCCCTGTGAGGTGGGTGATATTTGCTTTTGGATTTTGTTTGGTTGGTTAGTTTTGTTTGTTTTAGATAAAGGTAACTAGACTTGGTAAAGTTACCTGCCTAAGACCCCTTGACTACTGGTGGTGGAGCCAGGCGATGAACCTCATAGCCTCGATAATCTTGTAGCAGGTAATAAACTCTGATATGATGTCATATTGTAATTGTCCACATATTTCTCCTCTGCTAGTGTCTGCTGGATGGTTGAGGAGACAAGGTCTCTGTTTTGTCACCCAGGCGCAATAATCTGCCCACAGTGTGAGCCTCATGGTAGTTGTTGAGTAAATACCTATTGAATAAGTGGGTGGGTAGGTGTTGAATGAAGAATTAGAAGTTGTTAATACCCCATTTTTCTCTGAAATGGCTTTTACAGCCTGTTCTTGAATTGATCTTGTGTTGTCCTTTTCAATTCTGTGTGACCCCATGATGCCCAGACATTGAGTTGGCGAGCTGATTACAAATAATGACTATTCTTCTATTTCTCTTTGGCATATAGCAGACTTCATACCAATGCAAATGACTCTAAAACAGGCAAGAAATGGGAATTTAAAACTTTTTATTTAATCTCCTTTTGCAAGTAGTTGAACATGGTTTCAGGTTTCATTTGTTTTTGTTTTTGTTTTTTTGTTTTTGAGACAGAGTCTTGCTCTGTCGCCCAGGCTGGAGTGCAGTGGCACAATCTCGGCTCACTGCAATCTCTGCCTCCTGGGTTCCTGCGATTCTCCTGCCTCAGCCTCCCGAGTAGCTGGGACTAGGCACGTGCTGCCATGCCAGCCTAATTTTTGTATTTTGTGCAGCGGTTTCACCATGTTAGCCAGGATGGTCGATCTCCTGGCTGTCGATCTGCCTCACCTCGGCCACTCCCAAATTTATCTTGTATTGGCCACCCTGTTATAAAATATGCTGCACCATATTTAACATTTACATTAAGGCTCTTCCGGCAGGTGGCTCAAGCCTGTAATCCCAGCACTTTGGGAGGCCGAGACGGGCGGATCACAAGGTCGGAGATCGGGACATCCTGGCGAGCACGGTGAAACCGTCTCTGCTAAAAACACAAAAACTGGCCGGGCGAGGTGGCGAAACTGTAGTCCCGGCTACTCGGGAGGCTGAGGCAGGAGAATGGCGTAGCCGGGCGGAGCTTGCAGTGAGCTGAGATCCGGCCACTGCACTCCAGCCCGGCGACAGAGCAAGACTCCGTCTCAAAAAAAAAAAAAAAAAAAAAAAAAAAAAAAAAAAAGATATTCCATGTGATTTGTCATTCTTCAGCTAAATCTTGAAGAAAAATTTGCTTTTTTTTTTTGAGTGGGATCGGCTTTCCTTTGCCTAGGTAGGTTGGGATTATATAGTTGGAAAACAGCACCTGCGGTTCAGATACCTGATTTATAGTTCAGCTTTTAAAACTGCCTAGGGGCATGGTCCCAGGCGAGTCCTCTCCTGTCCATTTCTCTTCTTTTTTTGAGACGGAGTCATCTATCACCCAGGCTGGAGTGCAGTGGCATGATCTTGGCTCACTGCAAACTCTGCCTCCCGGGTTCCTGCCATTCTCCTGCCTCAGCCTCCTGAGTGGCTGGGACTGCAGGCTCCGCACTGCCCGGCTAATTTTTGTATTTTTAGTAGAAATGGGATTTCACTGTGTTAACCAGATGATGCCAGTCTCCTGACCTCATGATCCACCCACCTCGGCCTCCCAAAGTGCTGGGATTACAGGGCGTGAGCCACCGTGCCTGGCCCATTTCTCTTCTTATAGAATAAGTGGTTTACAGATGATCACAAAGCAGGCTCTCCAGCCCTGACATGTATCTCTGCAGCAGCGTTTCTCTGCCTCAGTACTGTTGACATTTAGGGCTGAGTATTTGTTTGCTATGGGGGCTATCCTGTGCATTGTAGGATGTTTGGTAGCATCCTGGTCTCTCTACTAGATGGCGTACCACCCCAGTTATGACAGTCAAAAATGTCTCTAGACTTTACCAAATGCTCCCCTCAAATAAAATTGCCCCCAGTTGAGAACCACTGCTCTAGACTAACTTTCTTGCTTTCAAATAGAGCCTTGCAAAGTGCATTACATAAAGAAGTCAAGTGGTTTTACTCCTCTTTGACCAAGTATTCTTTCCCTTCTTAGGATGAGGTGGTAGTAAATGACCGATGGGGTCAGAACTGTTCCTGTCACCATGGAGGATACTATAACTGTGAAGATAAATTCAAGCCACAGAGCTTGCCAGATCACAAGTGGGAGATGTGCACCAGCATTGACAAGTTTTCCTGGGGCTATCGTCGTGACATAGCAATATCTGATGTTACAAGAATCTGAAATCCAATTCCAATAAAGCTTCTAAAATTTGGCCCCCTAGCCCAAACGAGTCACTGTCATACAAACAATAGTCTATCACCCACAGTCATGCCTCCTTGACACTCAAACAAGGGCTCAGTGAGTCCTCCCTCAGCCTCCTGTTGAAGCCAAATTACAGGTATGTACTTCTTACATCTCCAGCTACTTTTTAAATTTTTGTAAGCAGAGTCTTGCTGTGTTGCCCAGGCTGGTCTCAAACTCCTAGCCTCAAGAGATCTTCTAGCCTCAGCCCCCAGCACTGGATTACAGGCATGAGCCATGCCTGGCCTGGGATTCATTATTTTTAACTATGGATCTTAAACCAGCTTTTTAAATTATGTGTACTTTCTAACATACTATATGATTGATTGTAATTGTTTTTCTCTCTCTTTTTTAAGAATTTTACATACAAGTTCTGAGATACGTGTGCAGAGTGTGCAGGTTTGTTACATGAGTATACATGCGCCGTGATGGTTTGCTGCAAACTATCAACCCGTTGTCTGGAGTTTAAGCCCCGCATGCATTAGGTATTTGTCCTAATGCTCTCCTTCCTAGTCCCCACACTCCAGCAGGCCCTGGTGTGTGATGTTCCTACTGTGTCCATGTGTTTCTCATTGTTCAACTCCACTTATGAGTATGGCTTATGCGCTGTTTAGTTTCTGTTCCTGTGTTAGTTTGCTGAGAGCGATGGTTTCCAGCTTCATCTGTGTCCTGCAAAGGACCTTGAACTCATTCTTTTTTTTTTTTTTTTTTTTTTTTGAGACGGAGTCTCGCTCTATCTCCCAGGCTGGAGTGCAGTGGCTGGATCTCAGCTCACTGCAAGCTCCGCCTCCTGGGTTCACGCCGTTCTCCTGCCTCAGCCTCCCGAGTAGCTGGGACTACAGGCGCCCGCCACCTCGCCCGGCTAATTTTTTGTATTTTTAGTAGAGACGAGTTCGTGTTCGCCAGGATGGTCTCGATCTGCAGCCTCGTGATCCGCCCATCTCAGCCTCCCAAAGTGCTGGGATTACAGGCTTAGAGGCACCGCGCCCGAGCGAACTGTTCTTTTATGGCTGCAGACAGCTTTTTGTAAGTGCAATCAGGAAGCACTCTGGATAGAAGTGCAGATCAATAGAACCCTTTTTTTTTTTTTTTTTTGAGGCGAGTCTCACTCACAATGCCCAGGCTGAGTGCAGTGGCCGGATCTCAGCTCACTGCAGCTCGCCTCTGGGTTTGTGCCATTCTCCTGCCTCAGCCTCCCTAGTAGCTGGGACTACAAGTGCCCGCCACCTCGCCCGGCTAGTTTTTGTTTTGTTTTGTTTGTTTTGTTTTTGAGACGGAGTCTTGCTCTATGGCCCAGGCTGGAGTGCAGTGGCGGATCAGCTCACTGCAAGCCCTGCCTCCTGGGCTTCCACACCATTCTCCTACCTCAGCCTCCCGAGTAGCTGGGACTACAGGCGCCCGCCACCTCGCCCGGCTAGTTTTTTGTATTTTTTGTAGTAGAGACGGGGTTTCACCGTGTTAGCCAGGATGGTCTCGATCTCCTGACCTCGCCCGATCCGCCCATGCCGGCCTCCCAAAGTGCTGGGATTACAGGCTTGAGCCACCGCGCCCAGCCAGTTTTAGTTTTTTAATTTTTAGTAGAGACAGGTTTCCGTGTTAGCCAAGGATAGTCTCAATCTCTGACCTGCGATCAGCTCAAATCTTCGGCCTCCCAAAGTGCTGGGATTATAGGCTTGAGCACATTTGACCAAAAATTTTTTAAATAAATAAATGCAGATAAGTTACATATTAGCCACAACTGTATAAGGGTGTCTATAAGAAAAAAGCAGAAAAACATCAAAAGTTAATGGTGTGGTGTCACTTGAAATCCTGTAAATAATTCTCATAATTAATTCTTTAAGAAATTTCTTTTTTTTTTTTTTGAAGTGGAAGTTTCACTTTTTTGGTGGGGCTGGAGGTGCAGTGGTGTGATCTCGGCTCACTGCAGCCTCCACCTCCTGGGGTTCAAGTACGTTATCTTGCCTCGGCCTCCCAAATAGCTAAGACTAATTTTCCCTGCTCACCCAGCCTTTATATTTTTAGTAAGACAGAGGCTACCATGTTGTGGCTAGTCTCAAACTCCTGACCTCAGGTAATCCACCTGCCTCGGACTCCCAAAGTGCTGGGATTACAGACGTGAGCCACCACGCCTGGCTGAATTCTTCAAATTTTCTATAATGAATTTAAATTTCTATATAACCTTAGTTTCTTTTTTTTTTTTTTTGAGACAGTCTTGCTCTGTCGCTCCAGGCTGGTGTGCAGTGGCACGATCTCGGATTACTGGGTTCCGCCTCCTGGAGTTCACACCATTCTCCTGCCTCAGCCTTCTGAGTAGCTGGGACTACAGGCACCTGCCACCACACCTGGCTAATTTTTTGTATTTTTAGTAGAGATGGTGTTTCACTGTGTTAGCCAGGATGGTCTTGATCTCCTGACCTCATGATCCACCCGCCTCAGCCTCCCAAAGTGCTGGGATTACAGGTGTGAGCCACCGCGCCCAGTCTATATAACCTTAGTTTTTCTGAGCTGCCTGGATATGTATAATACCTGTTTAAGGTCACAGTAAAAACACACACACCCAATTCCACTCCAGAAGCCGTAAGAATGTGCATGTCTTGGCTGGGCGTGGTGCCTCACACCTGTAATCCCGCTTTGGGAGGGTAGAGGCAGGCAGATCACAAAATCAGGAGTTCAAGACCAGCCTGGCCAACATGATGAAACCCCATCTAAAATACAAAAGTGCCAAACATATGGCGCTCACGCCTGCAAACCTTCTCAGGAAGGCACAGCGCAGAAGGAGTTGAGGGGAGTGGGATGGGATCAGCCGGCGCGGGACGGGCGGGATAAGATTCGGCGGCGAAAGTGTGATAATTTTTGGCGGTTTTCCCCAGGGGCAGCATGTGTGTTATCTTAATACATAAAGAATGTCCTGAAAATTGTCCTTCCTGCCTCCGTTTCTGGGGCATGACCCTTCCCCTTACCCAGCACCATGAAATGCAGTATCACAGAGTGCTCCATAGCCACTCCCTAGAATTTGAGTTAATATAATTATCCATCTTATAGCATGATTTTTCCAGTTTTACTCACATGAGCCTAACCTGCTTTTATAGTGACAAAAATACATATAGAGAGAGAATTTTTAGCTCAGGTGTGGCGACGCGTGCCTGTGATCCCAGCACTGTGGGAGGCCAAGGCAGGTAGATCACCTGAGGTCAGGAGTTTTGAGACTGCCTGGCCAACATGGTGAAACCCTGTCTCTACTAAAAAAATATAACAGTATTAGCTGGAGTGTGGTGGCGCATGCCTGTAATCCCAGCTACTCAGGAGGCTGAGGCAGGAGAATTGCTTGAACTAGGGAGGTAGAGGTTGCAGTGAGCCGAGATCATGCCATTGCTCTCCAGCTTGGGGCGACAAAGTGAAACTCTGGCTCAAAAAAAAAAAAAAAAAAATTTAAAAACAGCAGAGACCAAACAGTGTGCCTAGATTCTTTCTTTTCCTCTACTGTCTATTTTTAAGCATGATGCCAGACTTGGCATTCCTGGCTGAACTTTCTTTGTGTCTGTTCTCTCCAGGAACTAGATTTCAGAGCAATCAGATTTGAAACTCTCTCTAAACTGTCGGGCTCTCCATCGATCATCATTCCCATCTTCAAAAAAACTACTGCACAAATAACTGGGCGTCATGGAGGCTGTCTGTGCTTATGGTGGCGGGTGCAGTGGGAAGAACACAACATCTGTATGGTGAGTCCCGTCTTCTGTTGTGTGTAAGAACAGGATGGTGCCCTATCTGGAACTGGTATCTCTATAGGGTCCACAATGTTACAAGCCAGGCTAGAAGTTGCCTTGAGAAAATCCAGCTGTCATTTCTCATAAAATTTGTACCCCATTTGAGTTATGTCTACTAGGTTATCTTTGACCAGTGAGGGGAGAGTGGAGTTTGGTGAAAGGGAAGGAGCAGCAAGCATCAGTCAATTTGTGAAGTTATTACCTGCCCCCTAAATTAGTAATAACGAATGCCAGGTTACACAGGGCCCCATTCTAAATTCTTTCCATTCATACTTGGACTTCAGGATCTAGTTATTTGATCTTGGAGTCCCATTTACTCCACTGCAGAATGGAGTGATGATGCTTTATAGTGTTATTGTGAGGATTAAATGAGATGAGTGCCAGGTACAAACTAAATTGTTCTATTAGGAACTGTATTATACCAGAGAGCTTAGGTCTCTGGATCTAATCCCTCCCTTAATCCCTCTGTTTTGGATGAGTTTCTGTTTAGTGGTTGTCTTAGTCTGTTTTCTGTTGCTGTAACTGAATCCACAGGCTGGATTTTTTATTTTATTTTATTATTATTTTTGACAGTCTCACTCTGTTAGATTAAATACAGTGGCACAATCTCAGCTCACTGCAACCTCTGCATCCCGGGTTCAAGCACTTCTCCTGCCTCAGCCTCCCTAGTAGCTGGGATTACAGGCACCCGCCACCATGCCCAGCCAATTTTGTATTTTTAGTAGAGACGGCCCACTGCGTTAGCTGGGCTGGTCTCGGGCTCCTGGCCTCAAGTGATCCACCCGCCTCTGCCTCTCAAAGTGCTGGGATTACAGGCATGAGCCACTGCACCTGGCTTACACTGGATAATTTTTAAATAATAGAGGTTTATTTAGCTCACAGTTTTGGAGGCTGGGAAGTTCAAGAGCATAGCACCCAGCATCTGATGAGGCCTTCCCTGCTACATTATGACATGGTTGGGGACAAGAGTGGGCATGTCCCTCAGGTCTATCTTCCTCTTATAAAGCCATCAGTCCCATCATGAGGGCCCTACCTGATCACCTTATCTGATCCTAATTACTTCCCAAAGGCCTCACCTCTAAATACTGTACCATCAACATATGAATTTGGAGATTAAGTTTCCAACACATGAGATTTGGAAGACACATTCAAACCATAGTAGTGATTTCATCCTCT